TGGTCAGTGTTACATGTAATGATTGATATATATTGACTGTACAAAAAACATACAGTGGTCAGTGTTACAGGTAATGATTGATATAGAGTAATAGTATATGGTATAGGTATTATATAGTCTTTGGGTATATTTTGATTCCGCTTGAAATGCTGCTTGAATGAAATAACAGCGATTTTTTTTTCACAAAGATACACAAACAAAAGACATGCGTCACATTGCTTGTTTGTCTCCAATAGTTACAGCTATTTGAACAGTTCATCGGTAAACATCGCTTTTATACATTGAAACAATTCGTTCCTCGCCGCTGTTTGTCACTACAGCTGTTAAACTGAATTCATGTAGCACCAACGAGAGGCATAGTTAATCACAAGCGTATTTTCAGTATCTGAATGTGCTTGTCTTTATTCTGGGTAATTTTCCATACGTGATCGAGTACAAGTGTCCCGGTCTTATGAATATAACTCGAATAGAAAATAAGAAATAGTTCTTCAAGTCTTGTACGGTATTCTCAAATTCTGGTTACCTAACTGTATCTGAACAGTCAATACTTAAGTGAAGCCAGTTATGTCTGTAAAGGTTTATATATATTGACAATATACGTACTTTAATGAAGCCAGTCTGATCTGTACAGATTTATATATGTTGACGGTACCATACTGTGGCCAGTCTGATCTGTAAAGATTTATATATATTGACGGTACCATACTGTGGCCAGTCTGATCTGTACAGATTTATATATATTGACGGTACCATATTGTGGCCAGTCTGATCTGTAAAGATTTATATATATTGACGGTACCATACTGTGGCCAGTCTGATCTGTACAGATTTATATATATTGACGGCACCATACTGTGGCCAGTCTGATCTGTACAGATTTATATATATTGACGGTACCATACTGTGGCCAGTCTGATCTGTACAGATTTATATATATTGACGGCACCATACTGTGGCCAGTTAGATCTGTACAGATTTATATATATTGACGGTACCATACTGTGGCCAGTCTGATCTGTACAGATTTATATATATTGACGGTACCATACTGTGGCCAGTCTGATCTGTAAAGATTTATATATATTGACGGTACCATACTGTGGCCAGTTAGATCTGTACAGATTTATATATATTGACGGTACCATACTGTGGCCAGTCTGATCTGTACAGATTTATATATATTGACGTTACCATACTGTGGCCAGTCTGATCTGTACAGATTTATATATATTGACGGTACCATACTGTGGCCAGTCTGATCTGTACAGATTTATATATATTGACGGTACCATACTGTGGCCAGTCTGATCTGTACAGATTTATATATATTGACGGTACCATATTGTGGCCAGTCTGATCTGTACAGATTTATATATATTGACGGTACCATACTGTGGCCAGTCTGATCTGTAAAGATTTATATATATTGACGGTACCATATTGTGGCCAGTCTGATCTGTACAGATTTATATATATTGACGGTACCATATTGTGGCCAGTCTGATCTGTACAGATTTATATATATTGACCGTACCATACTGTGGCTAGTCTGATCTGTACAGATTTATATATATTGACGGTACCATACTGTGGCCAGTCTGATCTGTACAGATTTATATATATTGACGGCACCATACTGTGGCCAGTTAGATCTGTACAGATTTATATATATTGACGGTACCATACTGTGGCCAGTCTGATCTGTACAGATTTATATATATTGACGGTACCATACTGTGGCCAGTTAGATCTGTAAAGATTTATATATATTGACGGTACCATACTGTGGCCAGTTAGATCTGTACAGATTTATATATATTGACGGTACCATACTGTGGCCAGTTAGATCTGTACAGATTTATATATATTGACGGTACCATACTGTGGCCAGTTAGATCTGTACAGATTTATATATATTGACGGTACCATTCTGTGGCCAGTCTGATCTGTACAGATTTATATATATTGACGGTACCATATTGTGGCCAGTCTGATCTGTACAGATTTATGCATATGAACGGTAAATATATTGATATATATTTGGTATATGTATTATAGTCTTGAGTTCAGTTTGATGCGGCTTTTCCGTTGTTTGATATCGACATTTTAAAGAAAAAAAATCACAAAAGTATACAAACAATAGATATGCGTCACGTTGTTTACCTGTCTCCAACAGTTACAAGCATCAGCAGACTTCGTCGGTAAACACTTCATTCCTCACCGCTCTCTGTCCCCTACAGCTGTTAAAACGGAATTCATGTAGTACCAACGAGAGGCATTGTAAATCACATATATATTCTCAATATCTGAGCGTGCTTGTCTTTGTTCTGGATAATTTTCCATACGTGATCGAATACAAGTGTCCTGGTTTAATGGAATCTATTACTTGTTTAAAACATAGCTATGATGTCATTTATTGTCGTATTAGTACAACATAATGGACCGCGAGGTGTCCATCCTTAAACTCAGTCGTCCATTATGGTAATAATGGACAGCTGATTAGTAAATGCTGAGATAGAAGGTTAAAATGTTCTATCAAGGTAATATTTCATTTTAAAAAAAACAGATTAATGAGCATTTCATTAACTTCTATATTTCCCACTGATGTTTACACTGATGTTTACACTGCCAGCTTGTATATTTGGCATTTCACTAACTTCTATATTTTACACTGATGTTTACACTGATGTTTACACTGCCAGCTTGTACATTTGGCATTTCATTAACTTCTATATTTCACACTGATGTTTACACTGATGTTTACACTGCCAGCTTTCACGATGAACATTTCATTAATTTCTATATTTCACACTGATGTTTACACTAATGTTTACACTGCCAGCTTGCACGATGAACATTTCATTAACTTCTATATTTCACACTGATGTTTACACTGAAGTTTACACTGCCAGCTTGTATGTTTGGCATTTCATTAACTTCTATATTTTACACTGATGTTTACACTGATGTTTACACTAATGTTTACACTGCCAGCTTGCACGATGAACATTTCATTAACTTCTATATTTCACACTGATGTTTACACTGAAGTTTACACTGCCAGCTTGTATGTTTGGCATTTCATTAACTTCTATATTTTACACAGATGTTTACACTGATGTTTACACTAATGTTTACACTGCCAGCTTTCACGATGAACATTTCATTAACTTCTATATTTCACACTGATGTTTACACTAATGTTTACACTGCCAGCTTGCACGATGAACATTTCATTAACTTCTATATTTCACACTGATGTTTACACTGAAGTTTACACTGCCAGCTTGTATGTTTGGCATTTCATTAACTTCTATATTTTACACAGATGTTTACACTGATGTTTACACTAATGTTTACACTGCCAGCTTGCACGATGAACATTTCATTAACTTCTATATTTCACACTGATGTTTACACTGAAGTTTACACTGCCAGCTTGTATGTTTGGCATTTCATTAACTTCTATATTTTACACTGATGTTTACACTGATGTTTACACTAATGTTTAAACTGCCAGCTTTCACGATGAACATTTCATTAACTTCTATATTTCACACTGATGTTTACACTAATGTTTACACTGCCAGCTTGCACGATGAACATTTCATTAACTTCTATATTTCACACTGATGTTTACACTGAAGTTTACACTGCCAGCTTGTATGTTTGGCATTTCATTAACTTCTATATTTTACACTAATGTTTACACTGATGTTTGCACTAATGTTTACACTGATGTTTACAATGATGTTTACACTTCTTTGTTTTTCACTCTCATCACAGTTGGTTTGTATGCTTGTGTGTTGTGTTAGGTGTGTGTTGAGTATAATTGTGGGAGATTCTTGATTTCGGTATCGCAGGCATTGTTGTTGTGTTTGCTTTGACAGTTCTATATAATAAGTACCCGAATCCGCAAAACCAGTCCATGACCGTTATACCCAGCGATTTTTGTTTACTGGCAGTAGGAGTTTGTTTGTGTATTTCTCTTCATATTTAGTCATTTATTCTAACAAATACTTGAAAGAGCGTGTTGTTCTATGTATATGTATAGTTTCAGCAACGAGCATTCCGCTCGGAAACCCCCGGTGACACAACAGTCTTCGCTGTAAGTGTAGACTATCTTACCAATGTAAATGTAGGGGCGGGGCATAGAGGATAACACCACATACCTCATGAGGTGTCAGTATGCACCAATAAATGAGAGGATCAGTAGAAACCTCCCTGGTACAGTCTCCCTGGGTATCCTGGGATCCTGCCTATTAGGCGGTGTATTTCACAGGTAATCGAGTTGATATTAGCGCATGTAATCGTATAAATATAGTCATAATAATTCGATATTATTCAACATACATAGCCGAAATGTCCGTTGTCGAATTTCCGATGCTCTTCTTTTAAATACACAACAATTTACTATTCAATTTAAATACTTGTCCATACTTATTTCCCGATATCGATCAAAGCTTCTGCTAAATGTGCGTGTTATAATTATAGTTGTAGGTAACAATTATCTAAAAAAAAAAAAAAAAACAAAAAACACCTGATTAATGTATAGAAATTCATTACACAGTTGATCGGTCGTGTACATGCCATCTTGGAATGTCCCTTCCGAACCATTATACGTTTTTTTTTTGGAGAGAAAAATAAACGAAACGACGAAATGTCAAATATTAGTGTAATATCTGGTTCTTAATACTTGGGTTACTGAACAATCAACTCTGCAAATGGCGTCAAGGTATACAACTGCACTTTTATTACCTTCCGTCAGAAGAGCTAACGCTCAGGGTAGCACTAAATACTCGTACCGGATTGAACCATATATCACACTCCTCCCTCTTTAAAATTACAAGTTCAATATACAAATTAAACAAAAATTAATTACATTGTATTTTTGGTCTTTGGTCTTCTGAACTGAAAGAAACGATAATTCAACATTCACTGCAAATACTGTAATTACAAACGATCTCAATCACAAGCACTTATCACTGTCAATGATATGACTAACAGCCAACGAACAAGTTCAACTTTTGTGGGGCTGACGGTTCCTGGGTGGAATGAATGTTACTTGTCGACGGTTCCAGCCGAGGAGCTGGAAACGGTGCCACGACTGCTGAGGTGTCAGGTACAGAGATAGGCACCTTAGGTGTTTCAGGTTCCTTAGACAGTATTGGAGAACGCGAGAGTGTCTCTGGTAGTACCACCGGTGTATCCACTTGCGACACCACGGGCAAATCGTCAGATAACAGTTCCTCCCCTGACGCAAAGATATGGTCGACATGGGTGTAACGAATGTTTGGTCCTGCCCGCACGAGATAAGTAAGAGGACTTAACTGTCTCACTATCGTACCCGGAATCCACTTTTCCTGTCCACCACGGAAATTCCTCACACGCACTGTCTGTTTCGGTGAGAATGTTCGAACCCGAACTCGCCCTTTGTCATGTTGTCGTTTATGCTCAGCTTGCTTCCGCTGAACGCGACTTCCAGTGTCAGGTTTCAACAACGAGATAGGTGTGCGTAGCTGTCGTTGTAGAAATAATTCAGCTGGCGATACACCAGTAACAGTCGTTGGAGTCGATCGATACTTCAGTAAGAAGTTACTGAGCCTATGCTGAATTGTGTATTGTTCATTACCATCAAAAACATGCTTTTGGAGTGATTGTTTCAAGATCTGGACTGAGCGTTCCGCTGCTCCATTTGAAGCTGGGTGATAGGGGGTTACTAGGGTATGATTGACCCCGTTCCGTTTCATGAACTGTTCGAAGTCTGTTGACGTAAACTGGGGGCTATTATCAGAAACAACCTCTTCAGGTAGGCCATAAGAACTGAAGAGTGACTGTCCACAACCACAAGAAAGTATATCTTGTCTTTCTCTGCAAAGTCTATGTGGACACGCTGCCACACTAAAGTAGGCCACGACCAGGAGTGAAGGGGTGCCACCGGGGGCATTTCCTCGTAGTCTGACACGCATTACAGGCACTGACCACCGCATCGATGTTTTTATCCAGGCCAGGCCACCACAGATAACTCCGGGCTAGAGATTTCATCCTGCTCATTCCAATATGCTGTTCATGTAGTTGGGCAAGAATACGCTCTCGATAGGCTGGTGGGATGATTACGCGCAAACCCCACAGCACACAACCCTGCTCAGTAGACAGTTCGTTCCTGTGCTGATGAAATGGTTGCAGGTCGCGATCTGACACATAATTAGGCCAACCTCGCAGCGTATATTCAAGTACCTTCGACATTACTACATCGCACCTCGTCCCCTTTGCGACGTCCTCAGATGTCACTGGTAAGTCATCCAAGTGAGTGAAGTGGTATGCCTCCAATTCCTCCGACTTCCCGTCACTTTTGACGTATATCGTATTGATAGGCTGACAAGATAAGAGTCCATCGCTACATCCTAGCAGCAGCTAAAGTCGGGACGCTGTTCTTCGGGCCTAAGATTGTAACTAACGTCTGGTGATCCGTCACCAGGGTGAACTGACGCCCGTACAAATACTTGTGAAACTTCAGGACACCGAACACCAGACCCAACGCTTCCTTCTCCACCTGAGCGTAATTCTTTTCACTCGCGGATAAAGTTCGTGACGCGTATGCAGTAGGACGCTTCTCTCCGTTGTCACAAATGTGGGATATCCCAACTCCGACCCCATACGCAGATGCATCGCACGCTAGCCGTAGTGGCTTGTTCATGTCATAATTAACCAACACGCGATCACTTGACAACTGGTCCTTACACGACCGAAACGCGTACTCGGTCTGTAAGTTCCAGTTCTTGCAAAGGCTGCAACTTGGTCGACAGATTCGGCAAATACTGACCATAATAGTTCAAAAGTCCTAGAAATGACTTCAGTTCAGAAGCATTTGTCAGACTCGGCGCGTTCTTGATCGCTTCGATTTTCGCCTCAGTGGGATGGATCCACCATCTGACACATATACTCGACGGTGTCCTCCAGGAGCCTACACTTGTCCTCGCGTAGACGGACGATGTGCTCCTCGAGTCTGCGCAACACTTCACCTAAGATATTGATGTGTTCACTGTCGCTCGGTGCCGTGACCAGGATGTCGTCGATACGACACATGGTATGCGGTACTCCCTGCAATTTCTGATCCATTACTGACTGAAAGATAGCTGGGGCCGATGCTACACCGAACGGTTACCGATGATACCTGAATAATCCCAGGTGTGTGTTTATGGTTAAATACTTCTCTGAGGCCTCGTCTGATGTTAACTGATGGAACGCCTGCGATAGATCCAACTTCGTTAACTTCTGACCACCGACCAGCTGTGCAAATATGTCTTCCACATTCGGGTGTGGATACTGTTGTTCATCTAAGCACCTGTTTACAGTCACCTTGAAGTCGCCACAAAGGCGTATCGACTTATCGGCCTTGTACACAGTGACAATCAGGGTAGCCCAATCGCTTCGCTCGACTCGCGACACAATGCCTTCATTTTCAAGCCTATGAAGCTCCTTCTCTATGGCTTCCTTCAGGAAAAAAAGCACAGGCCTAGCCTTACTGAATGTGGGCTGTATATCCGACCGAACCTTAACTTGAGCCTTGAATTTCTGTATCGTTCTCAGACCTTTCTAAAACAGCTTGTCATGCTTGACCAACAGTTCCTTGACCGACGTATCAACGCGCTGCGACTGCATTGACTGGGTAACAGGAAATATACTTGGCCAATCGAGCTTGATGTAGCTTAGCCAGTTCCGACCTAACAACGATGGACGGTTGCCACATGCGACGCGCAACAACAAGTTGCGGCTCTGATTTCTGTATGTCACCGGAACGGTTACCTCACCGCGTAACGACACCTTCACGCCACCATAGCCTTTCAGCTTGACCGTGGGGTTTTGCAGAGCTAAATGAGAGAGATGATCTGTGTACACCTTCTCCAAGCAAATAGTTACCGCGGCTCCGATGTCAATTTCCATCTGAACCGGACAACCGTTCAAATCGAGGTTCACCTTATAGCCCTTGTCAACACTAGCGACATTATACAGGCCCTATAAGAACTCATTATCCTCGAGCTCCTCGCCTCAACATACTTAGTCTTACTAATATTAGTACCGCGTACAGGCCCTTTTGACCTTTTGGTTGGAAATTTTTCCCAATATGTCTCTTTCTGACACACAAAACACTTCGCATGCAGTAATTTACAGTCAGCGGGTGTATGTTTTCAACCACAGCGAAAACACCTTTTACCTGAGTCACTGTTGGTTCCCTCGGCCTTGTCCGAGTGTGAACTTTCAGTACCCGAGTACTTTGATTTCCGAGACTTGTACTTCTGACCTTTGTTCACAACATTGACTGACCCTATTGCCGGCTGCGACATTTCCTCAGTGTTCTTAGTCGCCATCTCCATGGCTAACGCGATTTCATTAGTCTTGGCTAGGTCTAAGTCTTTCTCGGCCAACAGTTTCTTTTGTATGACCTCACTCCAAGACACACAGTCTCTAACAACGTGAAGGTGTGCCTATTAAAGATACCTGGACACACAGTCTCTAACAACGTGAAGGTGTGCCTATTAAAGATACCTAGACACACAGTCCCTAACAACGTGAAGGTGTGCACTTTAACAACGTGAAGGTGTGAGTTACCTACACACACACAGTCCAGTCTCTAACAACGTGATAGTGTTCCTATTTGCGTTACCTAGACACAGTCTCCAAAAACGTGAAGGTGTGCCTATTTAAGTTACCGAGACACACAGTCTCTAACAACGTGAAGGTGTGCCTATTTAAGTTACCGAGACACACATTCTCTAACAAGGTGAAGGTGTGCCTATTTTAGTTGCTGAGACACACAGTCTCTAACAACGTGAAGGTGTGCCTATTAAAGATACCTAGACACACAGTCTCTAACAACGTGAAGGTGTGCCTTTTAGAGTTACCTAGACACACAGTCCCTAAAAACGTGAAGGTGTGCCTATTTGAGTTACATAGACACACAGTCTCTAACAACGTGAAGGTGTGCCTATTAAAGATACCTAGACACACAGTCTCTAACAACGTGAAGGTGTGCCTTTTTGAAGGTGTGCTTATTTGAGTTACCTAGACACACAGTCTAGACACAGTCTCCAAAAACTAACAACGTGAAGGTGTGCCTATTTAAGTTACCGAGACACACAGTCTCTAACAACGTGAAGGTGTGCCTATTTAAGTTACTGAGACACACAGTCTCTAACAACGTGAAGGTGTGCCTATTAAAGATACCTAGACACACAGTCTCTAACAACGTGAAGGTGTGCCTATTAAAGATACCTAGACACACAGTCTCTAACAACGTGAAGGTGTGCCTTTTAGAGTTACCTAGACACACAGTCCCTAAAAACGTGAAGGTGTGCTTATTTGAGTTACATAGACACACAGTCTCTAACAACGTGAAGGTGTGCCTATTTGAGTTACCTAGACACACAGTCCCTAACAACGTGAAGGTGTGCTTATTTGAGTTACATAGACACACAGTCTCTAACAACGTGAAGGTGTGCCTATTTGGAGGATTAATTTCTTAGATTATTTATTACTTCGTGCAAAGGTATTACAACTGTTCTACATTTAACAATATATAAGATACAATGTTGCTGGATTATATTGCGAAGAATTATGAGGAATTCTTTGCATGTTGAGGAACATCCCATGGCACTTTATTTGTAATTAACATTTTATGATAATACATGTAGCAAGTAAGTGAATTGCATATGTTTCTAACAACCAGACTCGGTTATGGTGTTAACGACAACAGGTAGCTTCGATTGAACACGTGTTGTTGGAACTTCTTTGCCTGTGAATTGATAGTTCTAGTCTGTATTTGATGAAAGAGATGACCAAGGTAGTACAGGGTGCTTACAGTGTGGCAGCACATGCCCAAAATGCGTTTGCATGTTGGACACTGACAGTGATAATCTATGTTAGGGTAATCCTTGTCAGCATTGAATATTATCCAAACATTGTATTTAGTCTTGGGTTTGTAACGGGAAAGTTTTTATCCTCGGGTGAGGCATCAGCGTGCTGGTGCACCCGTACCTGGAAATCACTATCATTGATCAGGTGGTCTGCAATGTACACGAAGGCTTGCTCTATGTTTATCTGCTGTTACTTCACGGCCATTAGATGGATTGAATATCGGACTACGGATCAGATTTAGTCAGGCTGCAGTTTTTCGAGCAAGCTGTTCAATTATTTGAATAGAATAATGGACAGATAGCCATTCTATAAAAAGCTTTCATCGTATGAATTGTCGGCGGTTACTTTCTTTTTTGTGCTTTGTCTCTGTTTGTTATTTCCGTGTCGTGACTTAGCTGATTCCTAGTATGAAGGCATGAGTGTTTCCAAACCAGATGATTTGATGAGGTCAAGAAGATTCCTGAACCCTCTGTCAACAACAATTTTATCGCTATCATTTAGATCATATTTGTAGGTTTGATACAAAGTCTTTTTTGTTATCTTGACATCGTTTTAATTGCCATATAATGGTTATGTTGTGTTAAGAACGAAGGGATCTGGAAGGACGAAACTCATTAACTAAGATAATTAAACTTTATTTGTCCGCAATAAGATGACCTTTGCTTTTCATACTTTTCCTGGCGTGCATACACGAGCCATTCAAGACAATTGAAGCTTTATTTCCATAGAAAGCCTTTGTGAAAGCTTTGCTTCTTTTTTTGTAGATTTTGTAAACCAAGGTATATATATGCGATGGCCTTGTTCATTGCAGAAGTAACCAGTTTAGGAAACCAATACAATCAATGCATTAAGCGACGCCCAGAATTTAACTCCAACAAGAGTAATGCGTGGAATGTGGACTAATTTGTTTGAAGGATGATGCCGGTTTTTAGCTCATGAATCTTATCATGTCATTAAGTGACCAAACCTGTACATGCCTTACAGTCCTCATGTTAGGGAGACACAAAGCCCGCGCTGGGTTTGCCAATTCAGACAATCACATTCAGCAGAACATTTATAACAGTTTCTGCTTTGTCACAGAAACGTTAATGGGGTACTTTTTGTTCATGTTAACTTGCACATTTGGAAGTAAGTAACACCATTGAGATTATTTGAGCATACAGTGGAGTCAGCAGGTCACCACAATTGAAATTGTAGTCAAAGAGTCAGACGTGCAGAGCGAAGTAGAGACAATAGATAGTAGGACACATAGTGAAAACAAATTGTGCATCGCCTGTGGGAGCTTTCACCACAGATGTATCCCCAGACGGAGGTGAGCATTTATTTATACAAGGTTAATCCGACTCCGACTGAGACCTCTCTGACACCAACTGGTTTTGGTTTCATGTCGTAGCTTTTAAAGTATTCGTAACATCATCATTGAATATTGATTGGTCTATACCTTCTGTAGTACCCCGTTCTCGAAATGTACACCCTGATCCAACACAAGTCATGTAACTGGCAAACCATATAGCCGGTCATTTTCGTGAGGATGATATTTTCTCGCGAAAATTACATTAACGTGACCGCGAAAATGCAATTCGTCAAATAATGAGACACGAGTGTATTAAATGCCCTTTCACATCCAGATTGCGAAAGTTAAATTCATCATATTATAATTTGATCTTTTCAAAGGAAAATCGCAAAAATTTTGAATCGTGGAAATTACTAGCTATCAATAACAGTTCGGCATAAAATGTGTTATTATGAATTATATTTACACATACACGGGTTGTCTATGCCTTCTTGTCAGCTCTGCCAATGTTTTAATTATTTCAATAACCTGGTTTTTTACATATATATAGTGTGGGCATTGGCAATGATGTCCTTTTGACTTTTAATAATACACGTGCCGGTGCAGTGAGGAATAACACCAAGTTTTAATCATATATGTAATCACGTAATATATGGTATGATTACAAATTGTTCATCAATGACCAATAATGTAGTTATTACTTAAGTCCCTATTAAACAAATAACACGAGAAATATAAAATCATTCAATGACAACCATTTAGAAATATATTTTATGTAATATTCAATTTCTCTGAAGAGTTTACTAAGGAGTAAAATATACTTCGTTTTAACAGAGATACATTAGACCTAACTACAGTATACTGTTTAGCGTTAATAGTATTTTCGGAGTATTAACGCTGAAAGTATAGCGTATACATATTATTTCACTTATTACAGTGTCTGCATGGTGATTATATAGCAGCTAGATGAAATAGAACGTTTGCAGTATTTATGAAATTTCACCTAACGAAGGCGGGATACATCCAAAAACATTTAGATGGAACTGTTGGCTTCATTCTCGTGACGTCATTTTGAATATGTTATTCTACTCCGATTTTTTGTTTCCTAACTTAACTATTGTAACGGGAAGAATCCATTACCCTTTGTGGCTTCTAAAACGATCCGAGATACACGAGCGATAATCTACGGGAAGTAATTAACACAGTATAATGATTCGGCCGAACGAGTTGTCTCCCATATTTACTGCTAATTTGTCCTATATTAACACCGTTCAAAAAGGGTAACTCTCTGTGTGCCGCTATAAATAGCATTCCAAGTGCAATATAGTTTCAGAAAGAAAAAAAAAAGAATAAGATATTCAAAGTGTCAAAATATATTATTATTATTATTATTATTATTATTATTATTATTATTTAGGTATTATCTATTATTATAATTATAATTAATATATATGGCTACCAGTTAGCATTTGCCTATCAGTTTTAGAAGTCCGTTCTGATATCCAAGAGTTACTGCCCCTTGTTTACACTCTGTCATAACCTGACAGCCGATGGCAAGAAAGAAAGAGAACTCGAGTCAACATGCAGAGATAAGGCTGAAGATAATAGCGATACGAAAATAGTTGTCAAAACCCTATTTTATTACAAACTGGTGTAAATATAGAAGCATTTGAAACAATTGTAAGTGTTGGACATGAATACATTGTAGCAATATATTTCATATTATATGCCTTAAATTATCATCGGAGCTAATGCTAATAATCTAACTGTGTAATTATGTATTGAGGGTAACCAACAAAATGAAGAATAACGATTTCCTGGTTGTGAAAATATAAACACGATATTTTTCGTTTACAGTAATTAAATAAATATTTATGTAATAATTTCATTTTTTCGTAAAATCACATGATCTGACCGCACGTGGACGTTTACGTAATTACTGAAGCTGTCTTAAGCTATCTCCCTTAAACAAAAGTTAAAACATAACTATGATGTCATTTATTGTTGTATTAGTCCATTACATAACACAATGGACCGCGAGGGGTCCATCCTTAAACTAAAACCATAATGGACAGCTGATTAGTAAATGCTGAGATAGAAGGTAAAAACTCCCAATCATTGATATACTGATGTTCACACTGATGTTAACGCTGATATTTACACTGATTTTCAGATATTTACACTGATGTTTACACTGCCAGCTTATATGTTGAGCTCAGTTCTTCCTTGTTTTTCACTCTCATCACATTTTTGCTTTTAACATTAGATCCACTGGTATTTCTATATATTACTGATACCTTCTTGTTGTTCGTCACTGGTGCCCTTTATCCAGGACGTAAATAGTTTGTACATTGGTCCTTTCTCTCTGTACTTGCCATTTGTTCCAACAGCCCACCGAATCTTACTCTCACTTTTCGCACACTTTACAGCTTCTACCATAATTTGTAAGTCGGATGTCTGCAATGGTTCCAGTGAACATGTAAAAGGTCATGATCATTAGCCTAGTAATGTCCGAAAAATTTTACTTTTCAGTCGAAAAAATTGGATGATACCTGTTTACCTCCGTGTCTAAAATATCACTTAGTATTCCTGCACTATCTGAACCGTTCCCTTTACCATCAGAATGATCTCTTCTTGTACATATTGAGCACCAAATACGAAGGCGGAATCGGAGGACATGTTGAAAATCTAAAAAATACACTAAAAAATGGCAGATGAGAACAGAAATAATATAATGATATCCCGCCTGAAAATCTGTATAACCTGTATAATATGTCTCATGGTTGAGTGAACATTTGTTGACCAGTACTGTGTGTATTTCATTTTATCATGCTTAGCACAAAATACTACCCATTATTTTCACAAAGATGTGCTATGTTTTAAGTAGGAGAAAAGCCGGAAACTGTGCATTCTGTGTCAGAAAGAACTAATCGTAGCCCGTAGGGTTTTTCTTTAGAAAATGTTTCATTTATATTGAATGTTATTAAATTACTTATGGTAAGTTTATCGAAATCGATATTTCCAGATACTATTAATCAGTATGGTTAATTATTGTCATGGTCATATTATCCCGTGAACTTCGGCAGGTTAATAAAATATTTTATCCACTTACATCCTATAGGTTTTTGTCGGTTACCATAATACCAAATTCATAAATAAAAATATATCAATACCCAGTTTTGACAGAAAAATTAAGAAATGGAGCAAAATTATTTTAAAAACTAAAATCGACTACAACTTCATCACCACAGAAAATCAACAAAATATGTTATTTCTGAATGTGTGACGGGTTTTCTATGAAAAGATTTTTGTGGCTATGGAATTGCTGCTATAGATAGTGCTTTCATTAGTTACTTTATTGATATCTATTTTAGATGGTAATTAGTATATACTATATTACCATAAAATGCATGGAAATTTCGTCCATCTTCAAGCATTCGCATTCGAGAAAGGCTGCTCTATACGAGTTACCTCCCTTCCTTCATAGCTACAGAATCAGGAACATTGATTTCGACGGGACTCCATCAGATCTCAATGTAACATGTAATGGGAATTTTTATCTTGTATTGAGTTCCAATGCGTTTACGTATATATCAATCATTTTATGGTAGTTTTATTGTTTAGTCAATCTATCCGGACACACCCGACTTATCTGACACACTTGGGAGACAACTGTCGTTTCATTTAAATGAAATCGTGTTGAAACCGAACTAACCATATCTTCACGAAAAATGTATTTGTTTAAATACACATAAAAGGGGAACATCTTTTGGCATTCTATCGGTTTTTTCATACTGGTCTGGGTTCATTCCCTTTGGTTGACAGAACATCACAATAATTCCAACTACGCCTGGTGTAAACATTAAAACATGGATGTTTTGAGTAGTTTCATATAATTACCTCTCATTCAGGTAATTATGTTCAGTGTAGGAAAATATATGGTCTTTCTAGTATAAGTCATGTGAAATGCAAGCTTAACTTGCTTATTGTCTAACGCAGGAAAGGAGTATTGGGGAATAGCGAATGTATTGGGTAAATTTCTGACAAATTCAATCCCCCGAAATCTAGATGGAGGCGCTCTTCATATAGTATTTACCAAACCAACAGAAATTGCACTCGTTACCATTCTCGACCTCTATCGACTGTCAAGGCTATCGCTTCAGTGGCATGGAGTGAAGCTAAGGGCAGGAACTCTGGGAGATCATAATGACTCGTTGACCGATCCAATATATTGTAATCAATACAGTTGTTCAGATACAGACGATGTAAATGGCAAATGTTTCAGTGTGCACCATCAGCAAACTTTATATTTCCGAAATCTGGATATTTGATCTTTTATTTAACTCTTAATACATTGCAATAATTTCAAACTGTCCAAGAAGTCCGTTAAATCGTCTTTACTGAACTCTAGGTCAGTTTATTCTCCATATAATTCTGCCAATTTATTTCTATTTCTTGAGCAGAAAGTATTTTTTGGTTCAAGTCCAATTTAGTTTAAAGTGAAAAAAAAAACAATTCAATTTTAACTTTAACCTGTTTAAGCAAGCTGTTCAAAATATGAATGTTTTTGATCACACAAAAAAACTGCTTATGATGAAAAGGCTTGAAACAACACTTTCCTTGTTCAGTTTTGTTTATTTTGTGGGATTAAACAAAATCGAAAATATAAATATGTTAATGTCATATGCAAAATACAACAAATTGAAGAAAACTTATTCCTACGATAAATGTATAGAAATAAAGAGAACAAAAACTGATTATCACAATTGAGTTTTAATGTCATAGAACCTTTAGTATATTAGACTAGCTGTCATCTCACACAGGAGACTGACCTAGAAGTTCTGGCAGTGTACACCAGTATCACAGTCACACCCTAGTCAGAGCAAAATGAACACTATCAAATGTAAAACAATTAACAATTGAAGGGAAAACCCTACATTTTTCCCCTTGCTTAATCACTGCTGCTAAACTCAAGTGACAAGGGAAGTAACCAGAGACCAGAATGCGAAAAAATATGCAAAATAAGCTGTATAATAGCTGGCCTTTTACGGCATCTGATTCAAGGAATGACTACAGGTGTTTTGTTTTCATAATTCACAGCTTTTTTTGGCACATACCTTTTTTATTAAAGTTACTATGCAAAATATATTATTCAACAAGGTGCATCGGATGGCTATCAACCAATCAGATGTGTGCGTTTGAAGACCAACAACCAATCAAATCTATTGCATATGATGGCCATCAATTAATTAGATGTGTGCATCTAACTCTTTCATTGATCGGATGGACGTGAGCATTGAAAGGCTGCAAGCCAACAATCGGATCTCCAGAAAGTGATCTAGTAGACCCCACATCAGGATTTCACACTGGAGGAAAGTTTATAAATATATATACAAAGGAATATGAAAATGGCAAGAACATTGAATCATTTCCACCTTATCTAGATTGTCCAATCATACTATCTCTCTGCACTAATGGTCTTATCCAGTCAGCTCATATATCTAGATTGAAGTAAATATTTTAACATCGGAGGTCAGTTTTCAGGCGTTGTATATCTGTGGTGTTGTTGCAGCAAACACATAACAGCAGCATCACACCTCACCATAACAATCTAGACAAAGGCATATTCAAAATTAAACCCATTTCCAAGGAGTTTTGGTCACACGTAACATTTTGACAGTCATTTTTGGGTCCTTTTATATTTTTACAAAATTCATTTCAATCTATAAAGCTTTCTCTGCCTTCATTACTTCCAAAATTCCATTCTTCATTTCCATGATGGCATCAAGCTCAGACAGACCCAGTCTTCTCTTGTTGGAGATATCATATACACCACCTACACTTTCTGTGTGCTCTCCATGGATTCCTGAAATTAATTACAATACACTAATTAATACTGTTTGGGATTAAATGTATGGCAATATGACTAGTCATTCCAAACATGCAGAAACCAGAATGTGACTGATGTTTTAATGTTATGTCTGATGTTTGGTCAAAAGGTGTTGCCATAGAAACCTTAAAATCTGACGTTTGGTTAAACAGTATTACCATATAAACCTGTAAATCAGATTCAGTTAAACAGTACGTACATAGAAAGCTGGCTTACATTAATGCTCAGTAGGGCTTTGTCAGTAGGGCTTTGTCAGTAGCACTGTGCAAACCCATTTCACAATTTGAAAATGATTGGAAAGTTTCATTCTATTTTAACTGTTTTCTTCTCTAATGCTTGTTCATTACACAGCCTAATCATTAATGTCAGGATCAGGCTGATGACATGTATAGACATCACATGACCAAATGGCATTTAATCTTAAATGTATTGCATTCTCGACAATATTTGTGGTAAAAAGGAAATGTTAACATTGGGTCAAAATTCTGCATACAGGAGGCCACAAGAATTTATTAGTCGGAGGGAATGAACCATCACTTTGCAGAGTTTGGTCCAAAACAGGATGGCACTCATCTTCGATACTCGGGGTTTACAATCATTTTCTCTCTCCGCACTCTTGGAACATGTCATGGCAAAGTTGAAGGCACAAGGAAAGTAAACTGATTGGTTCCAAGAGGAAAAAAGAGATCCCAGAGGGATCTTGGTGCCCACCATTGTTTGATCTTTAACTGTTCTTTGATAGTTGGATCTTTTCCATTCTTTTCTCTACTTTTCTGTTTTTGCTCTTAATAATTTTGCAGAAATAGCAATGATGATCTTTACTTGCAAAAACCAATTGGTTGCCTGGCAGCCATTCTATTTTTTTTTCTGATCAGTCCCAAAATCAAACAGACACAATTAGAGAGCAAACGGAACATACATATTAAATTTGAGACCCATTCAGTATTTCTTTAGAAATAGGGATAACAATCTTTACTCAGTAAAATCAAAGATGGCTGCCTGTTGTCCATTTTGTTTCTTCTGATCAGTCCCAAACTCAAACAAGCAAATCTAGTGATAAAGAGGAACCATTACATGAAATTTGAGAAAGACTTATGCAATCCAGAGATAGCCATAACAAACTTAATTGAAAAAATCCAATCTTTCAAAATCAAAATTCTAGATGGCTGCCTCAGCCTGTTGGTCATTTTGTTTTTCTGATCAGTACCAAAACCAAACAACCAGGGATCAAGGGAAGCATACACATGATATTTGAAAAATATCTATGCCGCAGTTCTCAAGATTTAGCGATAAACCTTCTAAGTCAAAATCCAAGATAGCAACCTGTTGGCCATTTTGTCTTTCTGATCAAACCATGATCAAATCTCAAGAAATAGTGATAACAAAAATTGCTTGGGACGGCAGAGTATGGATGTAGGGCAATTTTAAAAGCCCACCATCTGATGCTGGCGGGCTAAAAGAATGACCATCACAGATTGATACACTCCTTATGACAATTACAAAGCAGCAACACCCAACTTCGTTTGACGACATCAAAGGATCACAAGTAAACTTAATTTTTCCATGAGATGTTCCAGGGGAGCGAAAGTGACTAACATCTGGACTATGGAGGATGGATGGCAGTATGTGATGCAATACTTCATTTGACAAAGTAAGAGAGGTGGATCGAATAAAGTAGCTCTCCAAACATCCAAACCATAATCACATCAAAATAGCCAGTAAATAACACCTCACCTTGTAGACACAAGCCATTCTAAACAACTGTACAATTGGATTTATAAAAATCCTAAATCTTTATAATAGGATCGATAACAATCCTAAACCCGTGTTACTGGGTAGATAACAATCCTTAACCCGTGTGACTGGGTAGATAACAATCCTAAACCCGTGTTACTGGGTAGATAACAATCCTAAACCCGTGTGACTGGGTAGATAACAATCCTAAACCCGTGTTACTGGGTAGATAACAATCCTAAACCCGTGTGACTGGTTAGATAATCCTAAACCCGTGTGACTGGTTAGATAACAATCCTAAACCCGTGTTACTGGGTAGATAACAATCCTAAACCCGTGTGACTGGTTAGATAATCCTAAACCCGTGTGACTGGTTAGATAACAATCCTAAACCCGTGTGACTGGTTAGATAACAATCATAAACCCGTGTGACTGGTTAGATAACAATCCTAAACCCGTGTGACTGGGTAGATAACAATCCTAAACCCGTGTGACTGGGTAGATAACAATCCTAAACCCGTGTGACTGGGTAGATAACAATCCTAAACCCGTGTGACTGGTTAGATAACAATCCTAAACCTGTGTGACTGGTTAGATAACAATCCTAAACCCGTGTGACTGGGTAGATAACAATCCTAAACCCGTGTGACTGGTAGATAACAATCCTAAACCCGTGTGACTGGGTAGATAACAATCCTAAACCCGTGTGACTGGGTAGATAACAATCCTAAACCTGTGTGACTGGTTAGATAACAATCCTAAACCTGTGTGACTGGTTAGATAACAATCCTAAACCCGTGTGACTGGGTAGATAACAATCCTAAACCTGTGTGACTGGTTAGATAACAATCCTTAACCCATGTGACTGAGTAGATAACAATCCTAAACCCTTGTGACTGGGTAGATAACAATCCTAAATCCCTATGACTTGGTTGATAATACTAATACTTTTTCATCTAATATACTTTTCTCAGGGTGGATTGCGATCCGAAATCCCCATTGTACCATCTTTCAATATCTTACCTCTGGGTTGCAAGTTATATTCAGCGCAGATGTCTTCCAGTTTGCTCTTGTTTCCTTTGGTGGATGGAGCTGCAGCCAGCTTGGGAACTTTGATGTGGACGCTAGCCCTGCATGTGGTGCCAAGGTTGGTGGGACAGAAAGTCACATAGCCACACTTATCGTTGTGAGCAAATTTCAGTTTCTCACTAAGTTTGCCTAAAGCCTGAAACAAAATTGACACCATCTTAAATGAAGTTTAACAAGTAGAGTCTAAAATGAAAAGTTCTTGACGCCCAACTCTATGTTAGCAAATTCAAATTATTTAAAAAATTTAGACACCTGTTTTATAGGCTAGGAGCAGCAATATGTTTGTCAGAGATCTTGCATAGCAGCAAGGAATTCTAAAATAAATACTTGTTTAAATTGACATCACTATTTTTGTTATTGGTTGTAAGTGCTTTATGCATTTCCATTATGTTTCTATGCTATCTCCTTATTCAGTCATTTTCTGATGTCCAGTTTGGCCATAACATTACATAATAGTTATGAAAATGAGGCAGTTCATTTTGTAAACACGAACACAAGAAATGACAGCGACAGAAAGGAAACCGCAAGTAAAATCCTGTTTTTCAGCACCAGATTTTGTTATTGGTGTAGCAAATGTTATTTGACTCCAAGCCAATTCGGAAATGCAAAAAAAGTGACATGATTTGCCACCAATTGTTGCAACAGATTTAGGCAGGAAGTCATTTTAGTTTACAGGCAACAATAGGTATTGATAAAAAAATCAGCAAAAGTGTTTTACCTTTAACATGACCAACTGGAGTTGGTTTATGAAGTGAAACAAATTATTAAGAAATTCTTATGAATTTGTTGATGAAATTACATAATGTATAATATTTGATATCATCAACATTTCATGTCTTCAAGAATATCTAAAGCTTTATCACGAATTATTTGCAGCAGAACATGTCTAATTTCTATATACACAAATGTATATACTTTTACCATCAGCAGAAATTGACCAATATCATTAACCATGTTCAGAAAACTGCAGCAGGCCTTACTTTGACGAGCCTCTTGTACACAGCGCCGAGGTCACCACCCATCTGCATGGAGATGAAACGGAGATGGTCCTCCTCATTAATCCAGGTGAGGAACTTCTTGTCCTCACTGAAGTAGATACCACGACCAACTGGCCAGAAGTTGTATCCTCCAGCTTCTCTCAAGAACCTGCAATATCACAATCATAATGAAAATTTCAGGTCACATACACTCTTTCCCAGCCATCAAATTGTTACAATCATTTGATCAGTATACTGGATTGAGGTTACAAGTATATAACAAGTGCTTGTTGTACATATTTCTTTCTTTCTAGAAAGTTACAAAAATAAATTTGAAAAAGCTTCAGCAAGTATTAGAAAATAACTAAGGACAGCAAAAGAAATATATACAACAACCTTAAGTTTCAGTTACCCACGTCTACTACAATAAAATATATCAATCTTTTTTCTGTGCTCATGTGTTTTATTTACGATATCACCATTGTTGGGTGTATTATTCATACTTGTGGTAGTGTAGCACTAATTACGAGACAAAACTGAAAATTTCAGAAATATATGGAAATAGTTTAATTTACATGTAGTACATAACCAGTAAATAACTGCTCGATTATCTTAAGAGAGTAAACTGATATGAACACATGTAAAAATTCAATATAACAGAAATTATCGCTATTCACATAATAAATAACTGCTCGATTATCTTAAGAGAGTAAACTGATATGAACACATGTAAAAATTCAATATAACAGAAATTATCGCTATTCACATGTCAAGTCATTCATTCATTCATTGTCACTGTAACTTAGAGTTGATAAGACAGCTCTGTATTTTTTTAATACAGAAGGATCTGTGTTGTTGATTTGTTCGTGGTTATGTTGAATGTACCACCATAAATTCAAATGAGGGTTCAGCATGATGTTTATACAAGCATGAAGTAGTCTCAGTCAAAGGTCAATGTAACAGCCAATCAAAAGGTGTTTAGAGTTTAATCCACATATATATTTTGTTTACACTAACAGATATTGCCGTTTGTTCCTAGTTTAACAGTTACAAGGTAGTGGAGTCTGTATCATAAGGTGTTTTCATACCAAGAGAAAAACTTATTCTGACCTATCATCATTTTTGAAGAGGAAGTGATCAGCAATGAGTTGTTTCTCCTCCTCTTTGTTCATGGTCTCCAAGGAAAAGTATTTGCCTTTTAATTCACCTTCCAGAGTATTGAGAGCTTCAACAGTCATTTTCTCCATAGCCTTCCTTTGCTGTTAAACAAGAAATTTCATCTTTAACATCAGTACAAACAAGAAACAGTTTTAGAAGATTTCTTCATTCAAATTCTTATCATCATCAACATAATTTCTCTTGCAACATTCAAATTACGCCCCCTTATGACATATATATGAACAAGAGTGTGGTAATGTCATGATTTCAGCCTTGGCTATAACTTCCAAAAAGTTCATACTGAAATAAACATGTAGCCCTTATCAACAGTGATCAGTTTATTTCTTGGGGAAGCCTTGTGCTTAACAGTACCCGATTGATTTCATATTTGTTGACAATATATTGTTCCTGTAACATTGGAATCAGGGCCACCATGCTATCATTGGTTTAGTAGTTAGAGTTATTACTCTTAATACAGCACCATGCACAAGAAAACCTTCACTATTAGCCATGTTGTTTTCCTTATCAGTTTCAAAATCAAAAGGGTACAACTACCGACCTCGAGGAACCTGAATATGAAAATCCAAGATGGCCACCTGTCTCAGAGCTTCAAGAAATAACAATAACAAGAATTGTTTATAGACAGACAATGGGTGGAAGACAATCCATGGATGTATGGAGATTTGAATTGGCCCACTATCTGGTGGCGAGTCTAAATCAAATTTCTGCCTATGTGTATTTTGGAATGTGATCTTGTCAAATTACTTACATCCTTAGAGGCAGCTGGAGGGAATGGGAATCCAGTGTGACTTCTACCCACTCGTACACGTGTACTGACGATCATCTCATTGTTTGGGTCCAGATCACCCAAATCCAGATTGTCCATATCTCCAAAGCATGGTGCAGGATGCCACACCTTGTCCACCTTATGGTAATCTTTGATGACTTCATCAAGGACCAAGGCAAATGTATCGTAACCTTCAGGGTCGCAGGCATAGATACCAACACCACTGTCCAAGTTCATGCATCCTGATAAAACACAAAATTTGAAGTAATTTAAAGGAAATTCCTATCCTAAGTAATCAGGACCGAGAAATCCTAATCTCAGTACAGTGGAAGGGAATTCCTACTCTCAGTAACCAGGAGAGGGAATTCCTACTCCCAGTAACAGTGATAGGAAATTCCTACTCAGTAAAAGTGATAGGGAATCCCTACCCTCAGTGATAGGGAATTCCTACCCTACTCAACAATGATAAGGAATTCCTACTATCAGTAACAGTGATAGGGAATCCCTACCCTCAGTAACAGTGATAGAGAATTCCTACCCTCAGTAACAGTGATAGGGAATTCCTCCTCTCAGTAACAGTGATGGGGAATTCCTACTATCAGTAACAGTGATAGAGAATTCCTACCCTCAGTAACAGTGATAGGGAATTCCTCCTCTCAGTAACAGTGATAGGGAATTCCTACTATCAGTAACAGTGATAGGGAATTCCTACTATCAGTAACAGTGATAGAGAATTCCTACCCTCAGTAACAGTGATAGAGAATTCCTACTATCAGTAACAGTGATAGGGAATTCCTCCTCTCAGTAACAGTGATAGGGAATTCCTACCCTCAGTAACAGTGATAGGGAATTCCTACCCTCAGTAACAGTGATAGGGAATTCCTCCTCTCAGTAACAGTGATAGGAAATTCCTACCCTCAGTAAGAGTGATAGGGAATTCCTACCCTCAGTAATAGCGATAGGGAATTCCTACCCTCCTCAACAGTGATAGGGAGTCCCTACCTTCAATAACAGTGATAGGGAATCCCTACCTTCAGTAATAGTGATAGGGAATTCCTATCCTCCTCAACAGTGATAGGGAATTCCTACCCTCAGTAACAGTGATAGAGAATTCCTCCTCTCAGTAACAGTGATAGGAAATTCCTACCCTCAGCAAGAGAGATAGGGAATTCCTACCCTCCTCAACAGTGATAGGGAATTCCTACCCTCCTCAACAGTGATGGGGAATCCCTACCTTCAGTAACAGTGATATGGAATTCCTAACCTCAGTAACAGTGATAGGGAATTCCTACCCTCAGTAACAGTGATAGTGAATTCCTACTCTCAGTAACAGTGATAGGGAATCCCTACCCTCAACAGTGATAGGGAATTCCTACCCTCAGTAACAGTGATAGGGAATTCCTACCCTCAGTAACAGTCATAGGGAATTCCTACTATCAGTAACAGTCATAGGGAATTCCTACTATCAGTAACAGGGATAGGGAATTCCTACCCTCAGTAACTGGGATAGGGAATTCCTACCCTCAGTAACAGTGATAGGGAATTCCTACCCTCAGTAATAGGGACATGGAAATCCTGCCCTCAGTAAGTGATGGGGAATTCCTTCAGTAACTGGGATAGGAAAGCCTATCCTCTACCCTCAGCAACAGAATTTGAACTTTGAATACAATGTAAAGCTCTTGCAAAACTCTTCCATCTGTAAAATAGAATTGAGGCATTCTGTTACATGACTTTTGTCAACCTACAAAATATAGGCTATGTTAACGATACTCTTTGTGCTACAATAAATCCATACGAAAGAACCTCTTTCAGATAAGGTGCAAAAATTCATAGCTTCAAATAACCTTTTACAAAATTTCGCAGGACTTAATTTTGTATCAATTTTAAAATGATTCTTGATACTTTTCTTCATTTTTCTCTAAATACTTTTATACACAGGTAGCCAAACTGATAACCTTCCTATTTTTGAAACCTTAAGCTTTGATTCTCCTTATAAAAAGACCAGCAAACATTGGAACTCTTCGTTATATTTCATGCCATTATTTTTTAAAATAAAACAATTTTAAGTAAAACTTTTCACCTTTAGTAACCTACAGCAAATAAAAAAACTTCAGGCTCACCTCCAATAAACTGATACCTTAAACATTCATAACTGAGGTTGACTTTCCTGGATTGTTTATCGCACTTTATCCATTATATAATTTAAGAAATGATTTTTTTAATCTTATACTAGATTTGAACAACCTAGAGTGTTTAAGAAGTTAAAAAAGTTTTGTACTTTTTTGAAATTGACAAAATCTAATCTACAGTCATTTTGGAACAGTTACTAGATGATGGGTCTGTTCCACCTGTCACTCTGGATGCAAGTGCTGTCTTTCAAACAACAATTTTTAAGGACTTTTCAGCAGTTCTTTTATTTACATTTATAAAGTTATTAAATCGTTCAAACTACATCCATTATCAAATCTAAATATTTTCAAATTTACCTATATTTTTCATCAAAGCTGACATCTTGAAATTGTACATTTAATAAGATCTGTTCTTTGGAAGCTGACTTACTTCAGCAAGGCAGAAACTTATATGTATAATCATACCAACTGCAATTCCAGTAACTGAAAATAAAAATTTGCTGAAAATTTCAGGACCCAGTTTGTCATTTCCAGTTTGACGAGACTTTCAAGCATGATGTAATATAGAATATAGGCATTACTACTCATGGGGAACAAAGGGAACGCTTTTTTTTTTTTTTTTTTTGCATAATTTGAGAAATGAATAAATTTTGAAGTCCTTCAAATGAGGGATTGGGTGAAAAAATTAAAAAAAGACGATAACAGGATTTAAATATGAAAATGTCAAGGTTAGTTTTGTCGGACTCCAAGACTTGAAAGCTAGTTTAAAATATACTAATTAGCACTGGTTTCTAGAAAATTTCAGAAATTTTGTACTTTTCCCTTATATCCAAGGGATACAACTCCTGCCGACTTCAGTAATCATTTGAGGGCACAAGGAAGTTACCATTTACATGAAAAATGCCAAAATTCCAATACAAGTTCCACTAACGTGTGCGTCTCAAATGCAAACATTGCAATTTACTCGGTCTGTTATTTTCAATAATTACATGTACTATGCACATCACTTTTATGATCTAAGATTATTATACACTTTCGCTTTTTCTTTAATTTATAACTAGTTTTCCTTTGAAAACTGAAGATCCAAATCTATAAGTATGTGTATCGTAAAAGGCTGCTACAAATAGCGTGTTCTAGACCTTGCGCATTGCGAGCACCGCATTACACATTTCCAAATTTGTTAAAAACACACCGCACTCGCGCACACGCATTGCATGTCCCTCACCTGACTGGATACAATCCCCAAGGTCACCGCCGATGCTAGTTTTTTTATCCTTCAATGCTTCGTATCTTTCCAGAGTTAGATGCTTTTTCAATAAAGATTTGCAATCTGAAGCCGCTGAAAGTTTAGCCCATAATTCATCGACTGGTATTTTCTTGTATTCTGGTTCCGCAGACATTTTTGTTTTTTGTGCAAGTTGCTGCTGTTCAGAGATGAGCTGAGTAGTTTGTGTGTTTAGCTGGTCGAGGTACCTCCGATACATTGTACAGCCTCTCGCGTGCTTTTATACAACAGTCGCTCAGGAAAATGGAAGATCTCTCCTTTGATTGGTTACGCTCCTAGCAACGTAGAGAGATTAGCTCGGCGGAAGCGGGCAGTCCGCGTTTACTGGTTAGTACAGTGTGGGTTGGCGAGCGTAGCACATGAAAAGCTCGCCCTACCTGAATCGGCTCGACTATATATATACCTGGACTGAAATATACAACAAAGAAAGTTCATTGATCTCAATTGATTTCTTGATACTGGGTGAATTTACTTTACATATTAGTCAGTTCACATGTGTATACACCCATCCTGTTCATGTGTGTTCGATAGATATTGCTGGACACAGAAATGGCTAGATTAGTCCACCAAGGTAAAATGGTCGTATTTGGATTTAAGTCGATAAATTTTTATTCGACAGAGACCTGAGCATAGGCCTTTGGGAATCAAGAATCGCGAAAATCTTTAAATATGTACTATTTTAACACTATGTGAATCGTTACTAGTGTGGGCTTTGCATTGAAAAAATTCAAATGAAGCACTTTTAGCATAAAACACATCTAACTTTTAATCTCACAAAGAACTTAGATATATATTACAATATACGCATACCTTAGACCGTGAAACTAGTAAACAACGTCGCCATTTGCCCCACCTTATTGATTTGTTTTTTGTGGTTCAAGTTCACTACTCTGGTGTTTTTGCACTTCGCTTTGTAACGGTTATATTTCACCATTTCAGAGGTTATTTATTTCATCAAGAACAGAAAGGGGAACGCTCGAATATTAAAAACAATCATAGGTATGAAACAGATAAATGTTAGCATGTGATTGATAAAGACAGACACTAACTAAATTTAATATTTTAATCACTACAAAACTTACACGTGTTAATTAACATTAAATACACTCGATGAAATTGGGTCAGTTCATTCACTGACATATTACAGGTAAAATAGGTCCATTATAAGACTCCCTGTCTACCCAGTAAGTGTTTGTGATACCCCGTTCCTGTTTATTCCTTCCCTGTCTACCCAGTTAGTCTCTGTGATACCCCCTCCCTGTTTATCTCTTCCCTGTCTACCCAGTAAGTGTCTCTGATAACCCCTCCCTGTCTACCCAGTATGTGTCTGTGATATCTCCTCCCTGTTTATCCCTACCCTGTCTACCCAGTAAGTGTTTGTGATACCCCCTCCCTGTGTATCCCTTCCCTGTCTAACCAGTAAGTGTCTGTGATACCCCCTACCTGTCTACCCAGTAAGTGTCTGTGATACCCCCTCCCTGTTTATCCCCTCCCTGTCTACCCAGTAAGTGTCTGTGATACCCCCTCCCTGTTTCTCCTTTCCCTGTCTACCCAGTAAGTGTCTGTGATACCCCCTCCCTGTTTATCCCTTCCCTGTCTACCCAGTAAGTATCTGTGATACCCTCTCCCTGTTTCTCCTTTCCCTGTCAACTCAGTCAGTGTCTGTGATACCCTCTCCCTGTTTCTCCTTTCCCTGTCAACCCAGTAAGTGTCTGTGATACCCCTTCCCAGTGTATCCTTTCCCTGTCTACCCAGTAAGTGTCTGTGATAATTCCTCCCTGTGTATCCAATCCCTGTCTACCCAATAAGTGTCTGTGATAACCCCTCCCTGTCTACCCAGTAAATGTCTGTGATACCCCCTCCCTGTGTATTCCCTCCCTGTCTACCCAGTAAGTGACTGTGATACCCCCTTCCTGTCTACCCAATAAGTATCTGTGATACTCCCTCCCTGTTTATCCCTTCCCTGTCTACCCAGTAAGTATCTGTGATACCCCCTCACTGTTTATCCCCTCCCTGTCTACCCAGTATGTGTCTGTGATACCTCCTCCCTGTTTCTCCCTTCCCTGTCTACCCAGTAAGTATCTGTGATACCCCCTCACTGTTTATCCCCTCCCTGTCTACCCAGTAAGTGTCTGTGATACCCCCACCCTGTTTATCCCTTCCTTGTCTACCCAGTAAGTGTCTGTGATACCCCCTCCCTGTCTACCCAGTAAGTGTCTGTGGTACTCCCTCTCTGTTTATCCCTTCCCTGTCTACCCAGTAAGTGACTGTGATACCCCCTACCTGTGTATTCCATTCCTGTCTACCCAGAAAGTGTCTGTGATACCCTTTCCCTGTGTATTCCCTCCCTGTCTACCCAGTAAGTATCTGTGATACTCCCTCCCTGTTTATCCCTTCCTTGTCTACCCAGTAAGTGTCTGTGATACCCCTCCCTGTTTATCCCATCCCTGTCTACCCAGTAAGTATCTGTGATACCCCTCCCTGTTTATCCCATCCCTGTCTACCCAGTAAGTGTCTGTGATACTCCCTCCCTGTGTCCACTCCCTGTCTACCCAGTAAGTGTCTGTGATACCCCCTCCCTGTTTATCCCTTCCCTGTCTACCCAGTAAGTGTCTGTGATACCCCCTCCCTGTCTACCCAGTAAGTGTCTGTGGTACTCCCTCTCTGTTTATCCCTTCCCTGTCTACCCAGTAAGTGACTGTGATACCCCCTCTACCCCTGTGTATCCCTCCATTCCTGTCTACCCAGTAAGTGACTGTGATACCCCCTCCCTGTGTATTCCATTCCTGTCTACCCAGTAAGTATCTGTGATACTCCCTCCCTGTTTATCCCTTCCTTGTCTTCACAGTAAGTGTCTGTGATACTCCCTCCCTGTGTATTCCCTCCCTGTCTACCCAGTAAGTATCTGTGATACTCCCTCCCTGTGTATCCACTCCTTGTCTACCCAGTGTGTATCTCTGATACCAACTCCCTGTTTATCCCCTCACTGTCTACCCAGTAAGTGTCTTTGATACTACCTCCCTGTTTATCCCCTCCTTGTCTACCCAGTAATTGTCTGTGATAACCCCTCCCTGTCTACCCAGTAAGTGTCTGTGGTACTCCCTCTCTGTTTATCCCTTCCCTGTCTACCCAGTAAGTGTCTGTGATACCCCCTCCCTGTTTATCCCTTCCCTGTCTACCCAGTAAGTGTCTGTGATACCCCCTCCCTGTTTATCCCTTCCCTGTCTACCCAGTAAGTGTCTGTGATACCCCCTCCCTGTCTACCCAGTAAGTGTCTGTGGTACTCCCTCTCTGTTTATCCCTTCCCTGTCTACCCAGTAAGTGACTGTGATACCCCCTCCCTGTGTATTCCATTCCTGTCTACCCAGTAAGTGTCTGTGATACCCTTTCCCTGTGTATTCCCTCCCTGTTTACCCAGTAAGTATCTGTGATACTCCCTCCCTGTTTATCCCTTCCTTGTCTACCCAGTAAGTGTCTGTGATACCCCTCCCTGTGTATTCCCTCCCTGTTTACCCAGTAAGTATCTGTGATACTCCCTCCCTGTTTATCCCTTCCTTGTCTACCCAGTAAGTGTCTGTGATACCCCTCCCTGTTTACCCCATCCCTGTCTACCCAGTAAGTATCTGTGATACCCCTCCCTGTTTATCCCATCCCTGTCTACCCAGTAAGTATCTGCGATATTCCCTCCGTGTTTATCCCTTCCCTGTCTACCCAGTAAGTGTCTGTGATACCCCCTCCCTGTTTATCCCTTCCCTGTCTACCCAGTAAGTGTCTGTGATACCCCCTCCCTGTTTATCCCTTCCCCGTCTACCCAGTAAGTGTCTGTGATACCCCCTCCCTGTCTACCCAGTAAGTGTCTGTGATATCTCCTCCCTGTTTCTCCCTTCCCTGTCTACCCAGTAAGTGACTGTGATACCCCCTCCCTGTGTATTCCATTCCTGTCTACCCAGTAAGTGTCTGTGATACCCCCTCCCTGTTTATCCCCTACCTGTCTACCCAGTAAGTGTCTGTGATACCCCTCCCTGTGTATTCCCTCCCTGTTTACCCAGTAAGTATCTGTGATACTCCCTCCCTGTTTATCCCTTCCTTGTCTACCCAGTAAGTGTCTGTGATACCCCTCCCTGTTTATCCCATCCCTGTCTACCCAGTAAGTATCTGTGATACCCCTTCCCTGTGTATCCCTTCCGTCTACCCAGTAAGTATCTGTGATATCCCTTCCCTGTCTACCCAGTAAGTGCCTGTGATATCTCATCCAGGATTTGACATTTTAAGTTTGTTCACGCTGTCGCTGTCTTTTGAACACTGAACAGATCCTTCTATAGCTATGGCGGTTCTTAAATGACTGTACTAGTTAGTAAGACATCGATAAATATGTGTACGATCTATTTTTTGACTGATCGGGAAATACAGAATGGCCTCTACTTGCTGCACTTCTATTTTTCATAACTTGATCCGATGTTGTGCATGATCATTTTTGGTACTGGATGGAAAAACAGAATGGTCGACAGAGAGCCATTTTGGATTTTGACCGTTTAAGTTTCCTTTTGTTTTCTCTTGACAAGGACAGGACAGCTCATTTTCAAATTTCATACGGGTATATTGATGCCGCTTGGTCATTTTCTTTCATTACCAGCTTTTCGGAAATGAAAGGACATGCATAAAATTAAAGACCTTTCATTCGGTATTTCACATCTGTCCGTGGACCTAAACCTCCTTGTGTGTAGACAGGAGCAAAATTTCATCAAACCATGTGTCTTTTTGTTGCGATCTGTGTAAATTTTATATACAGATGTGTCTACTTCATGTAAACGTCCAACTCATCGTTATGGTGTGATTGTAAATGCGTTATGGAAGAATGCTTTAGTGGTTGGAATATATGTACACAATAAACTAGTTTTAAAGTAAGTCACTTGGTTCCTCGTTCCACACGCTCAATTTTAGAACTGATGGAAAAGTGACCGACAATATGATAAATACTAGGAAAGAAGAGAAACGAATGGAAAGGATGCCACTTAAATTTATATAGAGAAATAAAGACATTCCGGTGTCTGGAATCCAAATCCCATATGGACCTCATGCTACTGTAACTTTAAATCTTATCCGGTTCGGGGTTAAATATCCTAATCGGTTCGAGGCCGGGTTCCTATTGACAAATATTCCGAATGACATAGTCTTTAAATGGCCAGGGTTTTGTTTAATTATATTTAAGACAATGCACTGTGTTGATTGTCCTATTATTCTACATGTATATTGTATACTCTTGTACTGTCATGTGATATTCAAAAATCAATATATGCTGGACACTGGGTCTTGTAGTATTCTATTAAAATTCCAGTGTCGGTACATTCAATGCCATACTTCCATGACCGTCCTGCCGATCCTTTCTGTTTATTGATAATTAAAATAAGTCATTCGACTAAGGTAGGTAAGTTGATATTAATTGGTATGTACGTTTTCATACATGTTTACTTACGCTGAAATACACTTGGAAAATATATAAGCTACATACTTATGATGTCTTAAGACTGTGGATTGTTGTTGACCTTTTAAATTTGATCAGTTTGTAGCATAACAAGTTACATTGGTAGACATTTTAACACTCCAGTCTCGTGTTGGAAGTAGTGTGTACAGGGAGGAATGGGGTGTGGTGGGGAAGAGGGTATGTTGTACTGAGAGAGAGAGAGAGTAGGAGAGAGATTAAGATAGAGAGAGAGGGGGGAGAGAGCGTAAGAGAGAGAGAGAAAGATAGAGAGAGAGGGGGAGAGAGGGAGGGAGAGAGAGAGATATTGTGTCAATGGGAGAAGCTGGAGGACATATATACTGGGAGAAGGGTTTGGTGTCGCTAGAAGGGTATATGGTGTAATGGGAGGGGGATCCTTAGTGTATTAAAAGAAGGATATGAGGTGTCGGTTGGAGGGTTTAACGTAATGGGAGTAGAGGTGTGGCGTCTGTGGAGGGGGTTGTACTGGGAGGAGGGTGTGTTGTGTCGGCGAGGAGAGGGGGGTTGTGATGTCGGTGGGAGGGAGGGTTGTGGTGTCGATGGAGGAATGTGGTGTAATTGAAAGAGATGTGGTGTCGGTTGGAGGGGATTGTGTGGGGTGGGGTGATAATGTACATAGCTACTGTCCCCGGCTGGTCACCGTGCCCATGTTCGATAACTGAATGGACGTATTGCTGTCCACAAACAATTCTATATGATTACCAGCTCCACCAAATGGTAGTTCTCTGCTGTCTTTAACCAGGTAGCAATCACCAGATCTCACACTTTGATAACCATAGAAAAATGTAATATCAATACAATTTTATCAATAACTCATGCGCAGACACTTCTTTTGAATTTGATCTAAACCAAACACCAGATAAAGCTCCACTCTATCGAAAAGTACAGAATGCTTGATAGACCGACTATAGAAATTGGTAAGGCACTGCGCCAACATTCATTTGTCAGCCTGCTAAAGGTTGGCGATTAATAATGTATGGAGTCCCTGTATATATCGAACTTTCCAAGTGTGGAGCATTCTAGTGTGATTCTTACCAAGGATACGAGTGTCAAACATCAGACAGTATTGTTTAAACACACGGAGCGATCGCACTCATATTTCACCGCTAAAGAATTCATACTTCATTCAAATATTAGAAGATTTCGGAGGGATACCTTAGAAACATGAACTGAAACCCATGTTTAAAGGAGATAAATTTGTGAATTTGAGTGAAGCATCGCAATAATATTGGACCAGACACTCATAATACATAATGGTGTACAACTATACAAGGCCTAGGGCCCCTATAGCGGCCATGTACAATAGCCCTGGACCGTGTTACGGTCTCCCGGGAATGACTGGTAGACGAGACCACGATCCACGGAGTGGCCATCTAAAGGCAGCGTCCTTTTCTTTTGGAATTCGTCACGGGAAGATGAAGGAGGACAGTAGTCCTGGTCCTTGTTACTTCCTCACAAAGTACTATCGTGATGGTAAGGATGGAACCCCACAATACTCTGTGTACAGCCGCCAGAGGGAACCCGCCATTTTTAATGGCCCTGGTCCGGGATCGTACAGCCCGCAAAATGCCGGACCACAGGCCCGCTTCCGTGCTGCTTCGTACAGCTTCGGGGTCCGACATCGAAACAGGAGGACTGACGACGTGCCTGCTCCTAACAGATATTCTCTCCCATCTATGACAGGAAAGACCATACAAAGCGGTAAGAAGCAGGCCCCAATTTACTCTATGAATGCTCGCCAATCCCGGGGACACTTTAGTGAAGACCTTGCCAATGCCCCCGGCCCCGGAACATACAATACCACTACACCCAGTACGTACAAAGAAAGAGCCCCAATATACAGCATGACGGCGCGCAATGCCATGCCTGGAGACAGCACACAGAAGCCCGGTCCAGGGGCTCACTCCCCCGAGGTGGTTAAAATCAACAAACGAGCGCCTCCAAACTTCAGCTTTGGAATTCAACATTCGCGCTACATCGCGCCGCTCATTGTTGAAGCGGATTAGAAGCCATGTTGTTACCGTTCTAGCGACGTTGGTAGTGATATTATTTCGCAGAGTACCACCTTGTCATATATTGTGTAGAATGTCATTCCATATCGTGTCTTTGAGAAAATCCTTGAAATCGTGGATGGTATATACGGAGACTGTTTCATGAACCATCTTTTCGGAAACGCGCAATGTGTGGAGGAATTGAGAACAGCAACAGATATTGTAACGATTATGCTTAGTGCCTTGTAAACTGTGATAAGACTGGAGTGATTTCACTAGTTATACTCTATTTATTTATTTTTTCATGGTTATTTTTGTTTAAATGAAACGTACCAGAATCTTCACTACGAGTCTTTCTGAATCAGGCTGTTGTTTATTATCGTACTTGTAAGAATGTGTCGGTGAGTTACTGTAATCTGACGGTCAAGTCTGGCTTACGTGATATTGTGTCGTATTTCGCCTGAAGTGAACAGGTATGATGATTTCTATTTATAGCTGTGATCCAGTTATGTGCTCAGTTCGGAATTCTGTGCACAATAAATTGCTCAATGTTAATCAACTTAGTAGTATTATCTTTTTTTTTGTTTACCGATTTTAGCGAAATCTCTTTTTGCTGCCTGCAGTACACTGAAACAGTTTCAAGCCAAGTTTTAATGTTGTCATTACGGAGTTTAAGGTGTGACTAGAAAGTAACAGATTTCTGTACTTAAGTTTTAACGTTTATATAGACATTTTCGCGATAAAACAAATGTTTGCCTTAACAAAATGAAAATACGGAATTATTTACAAATAAGACAAAATAAAAAATCGTAAATGCAGTTTTAACACGACCAAAAACAGATTTCCACGCAACCGTGCGAACATGTTTTGTCGCCATTTACGTCCGTCCAGTACTTGACAACCATGTAATATACTCGATGTAATTTCAGGCTCCACCGCGATTGATACTTGGGTACAAGGATTTCAACAAGATGTGGATAAATATGGACATCTCAGCCTAGGGACGTGGATGATTATTAATGTTGTCTGTGTACGGTTACCTACTGTATACTATATTTAAGCGGAGAAATGTATCTATAGTAACCTCATGTGTATCTATAGTTACCCAGTGGATTTATCTATAATCACACCGTATATGTATCTATAGCTACCGCGTGTATGTATTTATGATTACCCCGCGTATGCATCAGTATATAACTCGACCATGTAGCTAGTTTCCCCGTGATTGTATTTATAGTAACCCCATGTGTATCTATAGCTACCCCGTGTATGTATCCATAGTTCCCCTGTGTATGTATCTGTATTTAACTCAAACATGTATCTATAGTAACGACGTGTATGTATCTATGGTTACCCCGTGTATGTATCTTTATATAACCCGAGCATGCTGGTAGTTACCCCGTTTATGTATCTAAACCTACTTCGTGTAAATATATACAGTAACCCCGTGTATGTATCCATAGCTACCCGGTGTATGTATCTACATTTAACCAGAACATGTACCTATAGTTAGCCCGTGTATGTATCTATATATCCCATGAATATGCAGTCATAATTACTCTACATATCGATAGTTGCCTATCTATAATATCTCAAGTAACCTCGTGTATACATATCTATAGTAAAAAACGTTTTTTATCCATAGTTACCCTACAAATACATTTTTATCCATAGTTATCTATCTATCTATAATATCTCTAGATGCCTCGTACAGTTTCCCTGAATTGTTGGACATGCAGACATTATCAGGTCTTGGTTACAGTAACTAGGATACGTTCTGACGGTTACCACGAGTTATAGTTAACAGTTATATGTACAGAGAGTAATGCGAGTGCTCCAACAGTTACTCTGAGAACCTCGAGTACCCTGACTGTCACCCCGAGTACCCCGACTGTTACCCCGAGTGTCCCGACTGTTACCTCGAGTGCCCCGACTGTTACCCCGAGTACCCCGTCTGTTACCTCGAGTATACCGACTGTTACCCCGAGTGCCCCGATTGTTACAGCGAGTACCCTGTCTGTTACCTCGAGTTCCCCGACTGTTACCCCGAGTGCCCCGACTGTTGCCCCGAGTGTCTCGTCTGTTACCTCGAGTATTCCGTCTGTTACCTCGAGTACCCCGTCTGTTACCTCGAGTACCCCGACTGTTACTCCGAGTACCCCGACTGTTACCTTGCGTACCCCGTCTGTTACCTCGAGTTCCCCGACTGTTACCCCGAGTGCCCCGACTGTTATCCCGAGTACTCCGTCTGTTACTTCGAGTACCCCGTCTGTTACCTCGAGTACCCCGTCTGTTACCCCGAGTTCCTGGTTACAGTTACCAGGAATACGGACTGACAGTTAGCTCGTGCGACCTGATTTTTACCTCGAATGCCTAAATTGTGACCGCCAGTTCTGGATTAATACCCCGTCCAGTTGGTAATGATTACCAAGAATACATCATGGTTACGCTGAGTACTTGGTTATACTAAAGAAATAAATACCGACAGTATCCCCGAGTACTCGATAATTGTTACCAGGAATACGTACCGATAGTTACCCTGACAACCCGATTATAGTTACCAGGAATACGTACCGATAGTTACCCTGACAACTCGATTATAGTTACCAGGAATACGTACCGTTAGTTACCCTGACAACTCGATTATAGTTACCCGGAATACGTAAAGATAGTTACCCTGACAACTCGATTAAAGTTACCAGGAATACGTACCGATAGTTATCAGAAATACGTATCGATAGTTACCAGGAATACGTACCGATAGTTACCAGGAATACGTACCGATAGTTACCCCGACAATTCGATTATAATTACCAGGAATGCGTACCCTGACAACTAGGTTACAGTAACCAGGAATACGTGCCGATAGTTACCCTGACAACTAGGTTACAGTAACCAGGAATACGTACCGATAGTAACCAGGAATACGTACCGATAGTTACCCCGACAGCTAGGTTACAGTAACCAGGAATACGTACCGATAGTTACCCTGACAACTAGGTTACAGTAACCAGGAATACGTACCGTTAGTTACCCTGACAACTAGGTTACAGTAACCAGGAATACGTACCGATAGTTACCCTGACAACTAGGTTTACAGGTTACAGTAACCAGGAATACGTACCGATAGTTACCCTGACAACTAGGTTACAGTAACCAGGAATACGTACCGATAGTTACCCTGACAACTAGGTTACAGTAACCAGGAATACGTACCGATAGTTACCCTGACAACTAGGTTACAGTAACCAGGAATACGTACCGATAGTTACCCTGACAACTAGGTTTCAGTAACCAGGAATACGTACCGATATTTACCCTGACAGCTAGGTTACAGTAACCAGGAATACGTACCGATAGTTACCCTGACAACTAGGTTACAGTAACCTGGAATACGTACCGATAGTTACCCTGACAACTCGGATATATTTAATTGATAGTTACCCTGAGTGTTTGGTTATGGGATCATGCTGTGTGTATAATGTGTAGACTAAGTTGTATTCGTACTTGTAGATACCTCGAGTACGTACCAGTAGGTAATCATGTACCATATACAACATCGATAAGGGAAAAAGATATTGATATCTAACGAATGTCTGGTGATAAAGGTAGTTGTTTCTCATATGTCAATAATTTGTTCTTCCGTGGAAAATCCTATAATTACACCAGGTCAGTCTAAATATATGAACAGAACGAGAAACTGACACGGAGACAGTTTGAAAACACATGACCAATAAGGTCGAGTGTTACGGAAAGGAAAGCGTCATCTGGTCTTCGATGCCCTATCGTCAGGTGAAGTTTGTCAGTCGAGGCCGCGGTAGCTGAGAGGTTACGGTGTATGACCGTCTTGACCGTCTTGAATTATCCTGGCTGTCATAGGACTAAATTCAAAGTAAAATAAAATCTTGGTAATGTCACGTCCTTAAATAAGTACAGGATGAACAATAACGAAACCACCAGGCGTGTTAACGAGCATCGATAGAATCTTATTCACGTCGCATAAGGATATACAATATTTCACAATATTTAAGTTTGAAATTTAAGATTAAGCATTTTCTCAAATGCCGAAATATATAACCGAAACAAAAGTATAAGAGAAAAAAATATACTGGAAAGGTTCATCCGGTTCTTCTTAACTTTATAAATCAAATTCCAAGATGGCCACAGGCACACTGTAGCAATTTTGTTAATTTGATCAGTCTCAGAAGTAACCAACTTAAGTCCATGGAATCATGCACGATATTTGACAATGATCCAACTAGTACGGAGACATCATTGATAAGAATTATGAAGAGACGACGGTTGCACATTGAACGTGCTATGGAAGGCGATTTGACCTCCCCATCTGATGGCGATGAAAGCCTCATCGTTCAGTCCACCATTATTTTTTTTTTCTCTGATGAATTAATATTTTATTATTTGAATACGGGAAAGGAAGTTAAGTAGCAAGCCCATTTAAAGTCCTTGCGAGTTTCATTCTACGTCGACAGAACACAGATATGCGTTGGTGGGAGATGAACCACGTAGACGAGAAACCTCTTATCCAGCCCGCAGTGATTGATAGAAATATTCAATTATAAAAAAAAGTCCATTACGAAGCTATAATAACACCCACCTATGAATAACATTAACAAAGTCTGTGGCAATATGTAGAACGGTAAACAATGTTGATTAATGTTCTTTTTTCTGCCACTTTTATTTTTCACAATCTCCATTCACGTTGAAATTTTGCGCTGCAAATTCTGTATTATCTCTATAGCAACAAGCCGGAAGTGTTGAATAAGATGCGCTACCGTCCTTTTTAAGTCCACACATTGAAATGATGAGATCACTGTTATCATCTATTGTAATTAATTTTTATGTTAATCAGGTTAACGTATCTAACAGGTGTTATTTACGGTGTTCACACGGTTATCAACATCGACGTTATCGTCGTTATTCCAGAGTTTATTCCACATCGACAATATCAACGTTTTAAAAATCCATTATATGTCGATAAGAGTTCTAACGTGTGA